TTGTATTACTTAGAAAGCTTCATGCACTCTACAAATATTTATTAACTATTAGTGTGAACAAAAGTGATGTGAAAATAAGTTTTGAGGGGCTAGGTCAGCAGTTAAAGGAGTTGGATCCCATGTGGTCAACTGTAGTTCAAATTCTGATTCCAGAGTCCAAATCAAAACAGGATGAGAAAGGACTGTGTGTGACCCGCACACACATGTACCCTCTGGCAATAAAAAGATTTTTGGGAGGGATAAGGTAGATTTCTTAGGTAACTATTTTGTGACCATAGTAACTTTTCAAAAGTTAGGTAACAGTGCTATTGTTTACATAGAAAACACCAAATCAAAACTACGAATAATGAAGTCTAGTATGATTAACTCAGTTAGAGACAAAATATTATTTGTTTTTATGGTTTTAGACTATCTAGGCTAATTTCATATACATGTTAATGGTTTAATTTGTGGAACAAGTAGATTTAAACAGAAGTAAAGAAAATATCAGAATTGAGGACCCTGGCCTCAAAGTACTTGAAAATACTTTTTCTGTAGTCTACTTAAACTATGACACTCACCAGTCATGCCTCAATCCCTCAACTCTGGAAATTGTTACAGCTACAAAAATTTCTGACTCTGAAAAATTTGTTAACTTTTACTTTTTTCGCCCAGAGGATGTGTGTGCTTGCTGGAGAGAAACAGAGGAGAGGGAAAGTAAGAAAGCTCCCCCTGGGGGAAGGTCTATGCTGCCATCCCTTGTCCTCCATCTCCCTCGTTTTGGGGTTTTGGGCACATAGCCATACGCACCCAGCACGCTTTTTGAGCTGGGTCCTGGACTTGAATCGCACAGTTGGCCATGTAGGATCCAGCTGCCTTAACCACCTGCCACTGCTGGCCCTCTCTGTAACCTTTGATTTTCCCATTTTTCTTGTTAGGTCAGTCATACATGTTGTTCACATTTGCTTTGACCTTGTTTCTTTTAGCCCATGTCAGTGTTCCAAACTGCCATTATCCCTTGCCTCATTTCCTTTACCTTATTTCAGGTGATTTAAAAATTCTGTGGCCTTGGGACCAGCAGTTAGCGTAATGGCTATGTTGCTGGACTCCCATGTAGCCAACCGCGGTTCAGATCCCAGACCCGGTGGCTTAAACTCACACCAAGCACGTGTGCATGCGTGCCCAAGATCCCAAGAGGAGAATGGAGGAGAAGGGATTATGGCGTGGCCATCCCTCCTGGGGGTGATTTCTCACTTTCCATCTCTCTGTCTCTGTCTTTCTGGCAAGTGCATGCGCCCTATAGCAAAAACCTCAAAAAAAAAAAAAAACCCATGACCTTTGGTCTTCGCTTTGTTACTGGCTGGCTGTTTTGCCTTGGGTGATGCCTTCACACCTGGCCTGGGCCCCGCGAACAATACTGTCACTTCCTCCCTCAGATACTGAGTAAGGACAGAACCAGGTCTGTCTGAGTCAGGACTTTCATCTTTAGGACAGAGGGACCTCCTCAAGGGCAACTCTAGTGTGTCAGCTTTGAAGCTTCCCTAGTGAGGGATCAAGGCAGGAAAAGAACATTGATTTTCAAGGAGCAGAGAAGCCCTGCAGTCTGTGCAGTCACCAGAGTACGAGTGGAGAGGTTGCGTGACACGCCAGCCGTACGCCACAGGTGTCTCTCACGTGCTCGCACACACAGTCCCTAGTCCAGGAGCAGCAGGTACAGCCCATGACGAGAAAGACCGTCTGTGCTCCCAAGGGGGTTGGATTCTAGCAGAGGGTCCACAATGCTCGACATCTAAGCATAAAGTTAATTATGCCATTCAGATAGGACTCTGCTCAATTCTTATACATTTTGACACTCATGATAGCCCATGTTTATTATTTAAAAATATAGCTGGCTATTAAATATTCACTGGTCTTTAGTATTTAACAATATTTTGCAAAGAAATAAATGTGAAAATATGATTCATAATCTTACTCTTATTAGTTCCTTTGACTCTTAAAAACCCTTCCCAACCTCTAACTCCAAATGATATATTTTAGCTATCTTGGTTCTCGGGGAAGAGCTATGGGTCTATTCTGAGAAGTTTCTTGTTCTTCAGATTTGAGTGATCTCAGGGTCCCACTTACGGTTTTCATGTTATTTGCAGGAAGGGAATTATTTTGATTTTGCTGTGTACAAAGCCCTCACTTTCAGTGGGAGAACTAAGTGCACAGGGAACAAGTCCTTGGCCTGGTTTATTTCCCCGCTGCCTGTGAAGAGGACGGTGCTGCCCTGACCCCTTTCGTGGGTTGTCAGCGGAGCTGTTGGTGTACAGCGGGAAAATCACGTATTAGCTCTCTGCCTGCAGCAATGACCAGCCAACAGAGAATAATTGATCATGGCTGCCTGAAGAAGGGTTTTGAGATGGATTCTGAGGTTCAGGCTGGGGCTTATCAGAAAAGAAAATTATGATTGATAAGTGAAATCTGCTGTGGGCAAGGGAGGGTGAATTTGTACTGTATATGCCAGGAATTTTCCAATCCATATATATTTCACTCCCTAGGAAAGGCTTGACCTTGTAGCTTCAGTTTTAATCTCCACATTTATAAGGGTCATTTATCTTATTCTGAGTAGACTATTCTAGAGACGATTTCAATGATCAGTCACCTCCCTCCCTTCCCCCATTTACACTTCCTAATGGAGTTGATTTGATTCCCAAATAGGATCCCATCAGCTTGCTGTCTTCGTAGGTTATTCCACATAACATCCACATAAAAATAAAAACCATTATCAATAAGTGATAAAGGCTATGAAACAAAGACCAAGAACAGGAGTAGGCAAATGTTCTGTGTGTAACCTTGGTTACGTTCTGATGCAATTTTCTTGCTTAAATGTGATGAGTTTTAATAATTAGTGTAAATCATGTAAAGCCCCAAATATTACAATACTTTAATAATGGACTATCTTGGGACTAGCAGTTAACGTAATGGCTGTGTCACTGGACTCCCACGTAGTCGACCGCGGTTCACGTCCTGGACCCGGTGGCTTTAAACTCCCGCCAGGAGTGTGTGCGTGCGTGCCCAAGATCCCGAGAGGAGAATGAAGGAGAAGGGATTGCAGCGTGGCCATCCTCCCTGGGGGGTGATTTCTCGCTTTCTGTCTGTCTCTCTCTGTCTGTCTGGCAAGCACACACGCCTTATAGCAAAAACCTCTCCAAAAAAAAGAAAAATAATAATGGATTATCTTAACCCTTTGATGGGAAGAAATTTTAAAATTCTACTTTTTTACTTAAACTTACAAAGCAATTGTATAATCATTGCAGAACCCCTGCATATACACACAGGGTTGTTTTTAAAAATAACTCTATGTACTTGGCTCTTCTGAGGTATGTGTTTTCAATCTGGAATATATTTCTGGGTGCTTTGCAATTTAGAATGAAATTTTAGATTACACAGCATTGTGTGTGTGTGTGTGTGTGTGGATTAGGTCACAGGTAAGATGTATTTCCAGTGGGTCATGGTCAATATAGTTTGAAAGTCACCATTTAGACCATACTTGCTTTATCATTTGCAGAGCCGGAGGGTGTTTTTGGCTGCTTACTGGCTTGGTGTATATCATTAGTCTCAATCAGGTCAGGTTTATATGTTGCTTTATTTCGACAGTTCAAGGCAAGCTTGGTTAGGCTGAGTCTGAGCAGTGAGCGAGGCTGCCCCGCCTGTCCACAGGACATGCTGGCTCCAGCACTAACTTCCCTGAATGCCCAGGTGTGACCTCTTGGCTCAGAGTGAGGCTCTGTGCCTGGTGAAATGGCCCTCGTCCCAATCCTCAGAGAAAACTGCTGTCTGCTTTGCAGAAATTAAAACACAAAAGTATACTCTTCTGCCAGACTTGTACAGCCTCCTCCCCAGTGTCTTGGACCACGCACGCACTTTGGACAGCTCACTGACACCTGCCACTCCAGCCAGGCTGTCAGTGGCTGCAGCCAGCTTCCAGGGTTCCCTGCTGCCTGTGAAGACGGCTGATCACAGCAGCGTTCCCACGAATCAGTGATGTAGGTAGCCAGACACCATTTTGGGTGACAGTCACCAGATTTATAAAAGCTATAAGTCTGACCAGTGGAAAGAAGAAATGGACTGAAATCAAAAAGGTCAAGAAGCTCGGCTTACTTCCCCAGCAGGATCCAACCCGCAGTTTCTCTTTTTGGCACCAGCTGGAGTTTCAGATGTGAATGGACAGGAGAGGTGTCTTTCTAGGGGCTCACATAGACCACTGGGTGCACCGAGAGCTCACCATCTGCCTCCTGTGATCGCTATAACAACAACAACAATAATAGTAATAATAAATAGATACTTGTTTTAATGATACCTAGACAAGCATGTAAGGAGAAAACTGCACTGAGTTTAAGGAATGGGAAAGGGTCAAGTAACAAGACTAGTGCCCAGTCCTTGAGAAGCCTGGCAGGACCTGGGGACAGCCAAGGATCTCAAACAATCTCTTCTGTGGGCTTCGAGGGACACAGCACGACACACAGGAGTGCGTGTGAGATAAGTCTCTGCCTTCCCCCCCCCACACTTTTTCCTCAATTTGTTTTTTAAAGAATTACTTGTTAATTTAGTTTGGTCCATCATCATAATTATTATTTTTTAATTTGATGGCAGAGACAGAGAGAGAGGTAAAGTGAGAAAGCAAGCTGCCAAGTCTGGGACTAGAAATGAGGCTGGCCATGTGGGAGCCCAGCACCCTAACTACTACACCACCTGATAGCCCCTCCTCCCTCAATTTTTATGAAAACTCAGCAAACTATATTCTTTTTAATAAATATCCATTTATTAAGACTGGTAAGATTTTTAGGATAGAACAGGCATGCTTTGGTAGTAAAATTTTAAAATGATAGACATCTTTCTTTTATATGTTATGAATATATTTCTATTAATGAATATATAACGAGTCTTCAGAAACTATAGTCAGAACACAGCTGAGCCTGGGCATCTAGTGGAGCAGAAAGCAATCACCAGGGCTGAGAACACCACAGCCCCTTCACCCACGCCTGCGGGCCCATTCGAGTCTCTCCGGTGCATGCGTGGGGCAGTGGTTGGGGGGTTCTTAAGTCAGTTTTTCTGCAGGAGGGTCTGACTTGAAGGGGTCAGTCAGTGAAGGGTCCAGGAGTTGACTGATCGTTCCCCTGATTCCTAACAGTTTCCACTGTGAATAGGAAGGCTGGCAGAGTCTGGGCGGAAGCTCTGGGGTCACAATTTGTGTGGAGATGCAGAAAGGCTAGAACTGGGGTTATGTTGCAGCTGATGCTGCGATCTCACGCTCCTCCTGTCTCCTCTTCTCCCAGGGTCCTTCCTCCACCTTTTTCATTTCCTCGACTGTAACTTTTCCTTCTGCCTCTCTATTGGCCCTTTCCCTCCAGCATATACACACCCTTGAAAGTAATTTGTCTTCCTTTTTAAATCCTACAAGGTAAACATGTGCCAATGCAGGACCTACTTTATAGAGGGGGTAAGGAACACCGACTTGTGTGTCCTAGAGAATGTTCCATGGAAAGCGAGGAGGGAGGGACCTCATAGTCCTGGGTTGTTCTCTGAGATCACATGGGAAAACTACCACAGTGATTCACCATCTTTGGACCAATTTTTTCTTTTCTTTTTGCACAGAAACATCAATTCTGAGAGATTGGTCACAGTGGAATACAGATGAGAAAATGGACTATTTAAAAAAAAAATCTGACCACAGACATGCACATCGTTAACTAAATATTTTTATTTGCTATCTGGATTTCAATTTTACATATATTTGCATAAAATAATTTAAAACTGATTTCAAATGATTAACGGTCTGGATTCGTACCCTGGTTCAGCGACGCCCTTTCATTCTTGGCCTGAGTCTGAGCCTCACTTCGTAGCACCAAGAAGAAAACTGTCGCTGCCACCTTCCCTACAGCGGCGTGAGGGACGGTGCACAGAAAGGGGCGCAGCGTGATCTCAAGTCACGGTTTTCAGGGCAACATTTGGCTTAGCAAATGAGCTAGACAAAGGCAGGAAGAAGACAGAAGAGATCTCCTTGTGAAGGAAACATGAATACAGGAGGCCACAGGTTGGTAAGCCGGCAAGTCGGTAACCACGCGTGTCGTCTGCCTTCCCACCGCTAGGTGTCGCTGTGTAGGGGCTGCGTGTGGGGAACGCGGACAATCATTTCACAGCTAACCGAGGGGGTCCATGGGGAACTTGGGCGAGTGACAGACTGGGGCGTGAACACAAGCTTCAGACAGAGGCTCCTTAGTGCATGATGCTCGTTCATCCCCAGAGAGATCCATTTTCTAGTAATTTCAAGAAACTTGCAGGGTAGGAACCAGTATTTCATTTTCAGTCTGAGGTAGGTCAGAAACAATTCCATTTTTATGCTGAAGTTCCTCTGCACAGCTTCTCCAATCTGGAGGGTGATGGTGATGAAGACTCTCAGTAGAGCTTTGCATACTAACTTTCGAATCTGAGGGTTAGCATACCAGAAGGGCTTCACGAATTACCACTGTTTTTCATGGCACTTCTCTTTTCACCTGTAGCTTTCTTAACTATCCATTTTCAAATATAACAATAAGGTCCATGATTCTTGATTTATTTTTAAAAGACAATATCGAATGTAGTAATAAGACCAGAGTGAAATGATTCCCTTCTTACATCCCAATCTGGAAGGAATTTCCTTTCCAGTTACAGGTAATGTACATTATACAGAGAAATGTAGTATTAGAAGACACTCCGCGTTAACCCTTGTTTATCAGGCATTTAAGGATGTACTAGATTTCTACAGGAACTGAACCGTTTTATCTTATTCCAAATTTAAACTAATTTTCTAAAATAAATAGGATGATTAAAAATGCAAGAAAAATCAGTACTTGATTGTATAATGGGAATAATCACATCAGACCTCTCACTGAACGGGATAGACCTTATTTACTTTCCGTAATTTCCCCTGATGGCAAGGTTGAAATCTGTTATTTATAATGTCACTTGGATCATATAAACATTAACATCTTAAAACTAGCTGGCTTCCCATGGAGAGGTTTAGAGTCCTGCAAACCCACGTGAACTGTTTTTGCTGAGCAATAAACCGTTGACGAACGAGGTAAGGCAGAAGCACGCCTGGTGCCAGGTGCCCCTTAGTTTTTGATGGCCATGGTCCAGAGGAGGGGGTGGTCTGTTTCCACAGTCACCACACCAGACCCATCATAGGTGTTGGAGGTACTGACCAGTGTTCCAAAACTGAGCACATCATTTGCTGTAAAAGAAAATAAGAAATTGATTAGTCTGAGGATCAACCCTTCTCTAGTGTAGACCAACGTTTTGAAGGTAACCAACTCGGCACGTGCTCAGATAGAAGATGTACGAGGGGACTTCAAAAGGTCTGTAGAAATGGGAACCAGCAGTTGGCGTAATGGCTATGTCGCTGGACTCCCACGTAGTTGACCGCGGTTCACGTCCCGGACCTGGTGGCTTAAAACTCACGCCGGGTGCGTGTGTGTGCGTGCCCAAGATCCCGAGAGGAGAATGGAGGAGAAGGGATTGCGGCGTGACCATCCCCCCTGGGGGGTGATTTCTCGCTTTCTGTTTCTAATGTCTCTCTCTGTCTGTTTG